GATTAGAATCTCAAGATTCTGATCTAACGATATTTTAGAGTGATAAATAAACATAGATAAAAAAAATGGAAGACAGAATAATCTATTCTAAACTTTTCATCAAATTTTTTTTTTTAATATGGATCCATTTATTTATGTCTCAACAGAAAATCATGTTTTTTTTCAATAATATAAGAAAAGTATAATAATACCCCATAACAAATCATGATTATATAAAAAATACTTACTATAGGTAGTTGACTACAGGGTGGGTGACGTGTGATTAGTAAAAGTCATTAGTATTTAGTGGGTTGCACTTGCACACAGTCAAATTCAATTCAATGAACGTTGAAGGTTGAAAGGTTGAAGGTGGCTCAGAGTGAGAGAGTGATGGTGATGATGATAATGATACCGATTATTCTGCACCGCTGCTTTTTCAGTATTTGCATTTCCGATGGCCCCACCTTTTCCAATACCCTTCTACCCTATACCATAGCTATGGGCCCATCAAACCGCCCCAAAAACAGAACACACCCAAGTTCCCTTTTCAAATTGAACACCCTCTTCTTCCTTTTCCTTATTATTAATTTCATTTTTATCAATTAAATAAATTTTCATTCTTATAAACAATTAACTAGGTCTGTCTATCACACACAGGGGTTATGCTACGTTGGAAGAGATTTTATCTGAATTAACTAGGATAGTTTTTTAATGAAAACAATTATGAGAATTTATAGATTTTTTTTTTTTTAAATTCATGTACTTATACTTATATTATAAAATATTTGTTTGAGCTTATTCTCTTATTTGTTAGAACCTTTGTTTTTAGAGTCTAATATGATCTTTAGTAAAAATATCAAATTTTACTTATCCTAAAAAATCACTTACATATCCATATTATGCGAAGGTCTTCAACTAACTCAAAAAACATAACATCATGTAAATGTACTAAGCTCTTTTTTTTTATACTAAAATGTACTAAGCTCTTAATTATGTATAAGTAATAAATAAATTAATAATCGGCTAATCTAATAGGTCTAAAAAGTTTTTTGCTTAATTTAGACATAAACCTAATAAATGCAATTTTACAAAGGTCCAAACATAACGTATTCATTAAAAATTTTTAGCTTAAAGTAAGCTGCAAATAAGTTGTGGGTAAATTTCTGTTATATTGCATGATTTATATTTATTATTAATCACAGACTTAATTATTTTTTCGTAAAAAATACAAATAGCATTTCAATTTTTGTTTCTAATTTTCACTTTGTACTAATAAAATAAATACTAAACAAAATTCAGTGTAGTTAAACTCTTATACTTAAAGAATAACTCTATCAAGTTTAAAAAAAAAAAACTCTATCAAGTTTTAGTAATTATAAAATATGATTATATCATATTTCTTATAATGGATTTATTTTGATATTTCTTTTTGAAAAAGTAGTATCGTACATTTTTAAAAATTACACATTAAATGATAAAAGGCTGTAAGTTTTTTTTGAGTCTATTATTTAATTTACAACTCATATTAGTTTATGATGTTTAATATAGACTTTTTAATTTAAAAAAAGTTCGATATTTTTGTTAAGCAAAAAAAATAAAATAATGAGGCGAATCTTCTCTTTTAATATTATTTTATAAAATTAAAATATTATTTAATAAAATTAAAGAGTTTGGTATTTGTCATATTAAATGACATAAGTTATGTCATTTTAAGAGAGAGATAGACACAAGAAATGAAAATCATGGGAGATAAAGCGGGTGGTTTTTTTTAATTTAAATGTTAAATAAGAAAATGTTTTCTTGTGTCTATCTCTCTTAAGATGACAAAACTTTATATTGTTTAAAATGATAAATATTTTTCTTAAAATTAAAATTAAAATGATAATACTTTTAGAGTAATTTAAATTTTTTTGCAATATGGTAACAGTATTTGTTATTATAAACTGACACGTGTACAGTATAGTGGCAGGTGTTGGCAAATGGCAATAGTGTTAACATGTCTATCAACTAGGACACGTATGAACAATATTATAGCTTTTTCTGTTTTGTTTTTACTAAGACCTTTCCTTTTTTTTTTTTTTTTGGTAATCTACTAAAACCTTACTTTCATTAGTATATTTTCTACAATCATTGTGGGGCTAAATTTAAATTGTAATGTAAATCTTTAAAAAATAATAGTTATTTTATTGGTTAATTTTATTTGTTATTTATAATTAATATATTAAACAAAGAGGAAGATTATACATACAATTTATTCTCATTTATAATCATATCTTAACCGTTGATTTCTTTAATCAACTATTATTATTTTCTTAAATTAAATTTATTAATTAATTATTAATACGTAATAAATGATAATCGTTGATTGACGAAAATCAATGATTAAATTAGGTGATAAGATATTGTAAACGAAAATTAATTATAAGTATAAACTTCCTGTTAAACAAATTATGTTTCATGAACTTCAAAATAAATGCATTAAATTTATGAATTATTTTAATAAAAAATCTGAAATATTAACAAATATTATGTAATATTGATAGCTAGAAATTGGACTATTTTATTATATGTTATCAATTTTTTGCATATTTGAATTTTATTACTACTGAGTACTGACACTCTATCCACTTCATTATGATATTAATTGCTTCTTATAATATATTAAAATGAGAAATAACTTTCTCTTTAATTTTTTTTCATAAATTTTAAATATAGTTGAGTTGTAATAAACTACTTAAGATATTTTATATGAAGTCATAAATTTAAATTTTAATACCATCATTGTTTTTATCTTTTGGAGAACATACCAGCATTGTTTAGAAAATAACTGATGAAATATTTTAGAACAATCACTGAATTTGAAGTCTACAAATGATACGGAATATAAAGAAATATGTAAAATACGAGGATTAAAATATTTATATAAACAACTTCAAATAACAATAATCTAATTAATCAGAATAAGTATTTTAAATATAAACTTAATCAATTAAAATTAATCATAAAAGTTTAAATACCGCTAATATTCTATTTATTTCTTTGTTTTAAAGTCGTGCAAACTATGTTTTGCACTTTGCGCCCTTAATTACCATCGTGTGAACACTAAACAAGATAAAAATATTTGCGCGAATACGAAAACGATAAAATATTTTAAAAGTTTAAATATTTCACTGGTACACTACGAGCATGTTTGGTGTGATGTGTAAGGCTTAATAGTATAAGTTTATACTATATGTTATGACATTTTCAGTTGTTTGGTGTGACCATCTTATAGTATAAGCTTATACAGCAGGATCCCCTAATACATCAAAATAATGTATAACTTAATCTGGCCTAAGAAAGAAGGATAAGGTCTGATAAGAGATTGGTGTATTAACATCGTTGACTAGTGTAATTATCAAAAATTAATATATTATTTTAATATTAATATATTAAAATAAAAATTAATCTTTCAATATATTAATTTTTAAAATATTGAATATTTTTATTTTTATAAAAATTAATTTATATTTTGGACACACTGATCAACAAATTTTTACAAAAATTAATATCATATGACATTTTTTGAAGAATTATATAAATTCTTTATTAAAAATTTATTTTTATCCTATATAGTATTATACAGTGTATTACAAAATACTAGATGATATTATCTTATACAATATATAATTTTATACAATACCGTACCAAACGCTGGATAGTATTAAAATTTAATCAGGTCTTATACAATCAAATCTTATGCTATCGGATCTTATACAATTAAGCCTTATCCTATACTATGCACTAAATATGCTTAAATGACAGCGCTATTAAGTTCGGTTGGACCGGATGAATCAGAACACTAATCAAAAACCGATTTAACCTAAAAAATCAGTACTAGACTACTAGGTTAGCACCAATTGTAAACAAACCGTTCTTGATCGGAATGTATATATGTCAATTAAATTATATTATAGAAAAATATTTCTACTCCAAATAAATTGGTTAAAATTTTAAAAACTTATAATAATAAAAACTATTATAAGCATGAAATAAATTAAATTATAAAATACTTTAATTTTCACTCCAAAATAATGTCATTTTAAACTCAATGTAAATAATTTATTTGTTTTTACTGCAGAAAAAATGAATTCATTATATTAAACAAAAAAATAATAAGGATTAAAAATTTATCATGTTACATAATGAAATTTCAACTTTTCTGCATAAATAAATAAATGTGGGATCTAGGATACCAAAAAATAAAAAATAAAAAAATGTGGGATCCATAAAAAATTTTAAAAAAATAAAAGAAAAATGACGGATGGAACTTTTGCTATCTATGCAGGGAAAATAAAAATTTGTCGTAACATAACAAACTATTAACCCAAATAATAATTGTTTTGGAATTCGAATTTATCTCCTAAACGAAGGAAAGTTAAATACTAACAATTAAATCAAATTATTTTAATTATTATATATTTTTATATAAATTCAATTTAAAGATTGAATCCATTCATATGACACCAAATTTATGATGGATTCAAATTTAATAACATTTAATGGAGGGGACTAAGTTTTCTTGTGCTTGACTTATGAAACAATTACTATTAATATAATTAAATGTATTAGATGTTATGTTGTTGTATTAACATAAATATATTGTATAAAAAAGGGAAAAACTACTTTTATGTTGCATAAGAATAGTTTTATCTCCTACACACTCATCGAAAATCGTGATATTTATTTTTCTTTTTTCTTTTTTTTATTTAAATGACGGATCCCGCCACATATGTGTCACAACATGAGAGAAGATCTCTCCTTCAACATAAGATTAAATGAACCCATAAAAAAAGCATAAATTTAATTTAAAAGACTTAATGAAATTGAAATGGATTAAGAAAAGAAATTGGAGAAAGTGGGACCACGAGGATGGTCACTTTTTGAAAAGGCTTTTAATCAGGTTGTCGTTCTAGGTTTCTTCTTGGTTCCTCGTTCTCTCTCTCTCCCTATCTCTCTCCCCCACAACACGCGCACACACTTCAACGGTACAATTAATCAAAAAACCCCTTACCCTTAACCCTTAACCCTTACCCTTACCCTTACCCTTGTTAGTTTTCACACTTGCACACAACCAAATCTATATTATTCTACAGTTCGCAACTCTTCTCTCACTGAATCATCATCGTCATCATTATCATCATCACTCTATATTATAATATAGTCATCCTCAACTCTCTCTGGTACTATATTACTCTTCTCTCTCTCTCTCTCTCTGTCTCTCTCTCTGTGTTTCTCACTCTAACTCTGAGTACATGTAGCACTGAATCTCTTGTGTTGAATGTGATTACAGAAAGTGCAATATGGCTTACATGTGTGCAGACAGTGGCAACCTTATGGCTATTGCTCAACAAGTTATCAAGCAGAAGCAGCAACAAGAGCAACAGCAGAACCACCATCATCAACAACATCAACAACATCATCAACAACAACAACAACACATGGGTGGTATTATCAACCCTCTATCTCTCCATCCATGGAACAATACTCCACCTTTGGGTTTTCCCCTCCCTCCAAACGAATTTCCGGATCCTTTTCAAGTCGGGTCGGGTCCCGACAACCCGGACCCTGCTTTTCAGTTCCCTCCCCTCGACCCTCATTCCGCCGCCTTTAGATTCTCCGATTTCGACTCCGACGAGTGGATGGACACCTTAATGGTCGCTGCCGACTCGACGGAACCACCCGCGTGGCAGAGCAATGTCGATTTTGGCCTTTACGCTTCCAACCCATTTGCGACCCGACTCTCCCCGCCGTCGGATCTCAACCGGGTCATCTTCTCTTCCGAATCTCAATCCACTATCCCTCTTCAACCCACTCAACTACCCACCCCGCCACCGCTATCTCCTCCACGCAAAGACCCTTTTCCGACGAAGGCCACAGTGCACAGAAACGACACCGTCGTCGTCGTCGGTGGCTCATCTGAAACAGAGTCTGCGCACCCGCTTCTGAAAGCGTTAACGGAGTGTGCTCTTCTCGCCGAGACTGAACCGGATCAGGCCTCAGAATCTCTTACCCATTTGAGGAAATCAGTGTCCCAGCATGGAAACCCTACACAGAGAGTTGCCTTCTACTTCTCCGAAGCTCTAACCCGCAAAATATCCATGGAGAAAGATAAAAAGAAGAACTTGGCAATGGTGGAAGCTACTACTACTACTACTATTACCACTACTTCGGAGGAGTTGACGCTATGTTATAAAGCTTTGAACGATGCTTGCCCTTATTCAAAGTTTGCACATTTAACTGCGAATCAAGCCATCTTGGAAGCCACGGAAGGAGCCACTAAGATTCACATCGTTGATTTTGGGATCGTGCAAGGGATTCAATGGGCAGCACTGTTGCAAGCATTTGCAACTCGTTCATCTGGGAAGCCTGAGAGTGTAAGGATTTCTGGGATACCAGCTATGGCTCTTGGAACTTCTCCTGGAACTTCTCTTTCAGCCACTGGGAATCGTCTCTCTGAGTTTGCAAAGCTTCTTGAGTTGAATTTCGAGTTTAGACCTATTTTGACCCCTATTCATGAGCTCAATGAGGGTAGCTTTTGTATTCAACCAAACGAGGCCTTGGCTGTTAACTTTATGCTTCAGTTGTATAATCTTTTGGATGAGAATTCAACTGCTGTGGAGACTGCACTTCGGTTAGCTAAGTCTTTGAACCCCAAGATTGTAACCCTTGGTGAGCATGAAGCAAGCTTGACCTGTGTTGGGTTTTTCCAACGGTTCAAGACTGCATTGAAGTATTTCTCAGCTTTGTTTGAGTCTCTGGAACCAAACTTGGAATCTGACTCGCCGGAAAGGTTCCAAGTGGAGAGTCTTCTGCTCGGCCGGCGTATCGCCGCCGTGATTGGGTCCGAGTTGCCGGGGAGTGTAAGAGAAAGGATGGAGGACAAAGAGCAGTGGAGGGTTCTGATGGAAAGATCTGGTTTTGAATCAGTGAGTTTCAGCCATTATGCAATTAGTCAAGCTAAGATGCTTTTGTGGAATTACAGCTATAGTTCTCTGTATTCTCTCATTGAATCTGAACCGGGTTTTTTGTCTCTGGCGTGGAAAGATGTCCCTCTCTTGACTGTTTCTTCGTGGCGTTAATGGATTATTGGCCTCAAAACTGGAAATGGGTTTCCACCTGGTCCTTTTTTCTCTGGTGTGGAACAACTAATTGTCTATATGTTCCTTTGATGATCATGCTAGGCACTTCGATTGATCTTTCCTTGGTGAAGTTATGCAGATTTGATGTGTTATTGGTACTGGAATATCAGATTTTTAGAAGAATTACCGTTTTGGCTGTACTTTTAGCAGTTTGGTCCTAGTTCCACACCCTTCTCCCTTCTTTTGTTTTCAATTGATTTTTCTTTATGTAGCGGTTTGATGTGGCAGTGGTATTAGGTTGAAGACTTGACAAACAGTGATTAAGGGAATGGAAATGAAGAAATGGGAAGGAAAAAGCTTTCTTTCCCATTGCTAGTCTTGTGACTTTGTAAATTTGATTTTGTTGTATGGATTTAAATTAGTCTGAATATCAAAGGATTTTCATCTTTACTTTCTGTCTCATAAATAGCAGTTATAATTTTTATCAGTTTCTGCAAGTTGCGAGTCTGCATTCTTGGTTATTTAGCCTGTCTATGCAAAATGGATTCAGTTTCAACCAATGGTGATTTATTCCTAACTGAAACATAGTGATTATCATTGAGAAAATGGCTGTGTATATGGGTTTGTCACCGTCTTCTGTGTGACACTTGATGAAGAATCGAAGATCCTTTTTAACTATTTGCGACTGTGATTGTTATTGAAGGAAAACTTAGTGAGCTATTGCATGATGACACTCTTCATGCTGCCAACGTATTCATGCACAGTCATCTGTGAAAAAATTTATTACTTTTCTTTCTAAATTTTTAACTTACACCATCTGGATAAAGTTTGTTTGTTTCTTTTTGTGTTTATGAAGGTTTTTGGAGCTCTCTTCCCTCTATCTCTATGGGCCATACCAATAGCTTTGTTGTCTGTCTCTTTCGTGCTGCAATCAAGTTCCTTTTCTTCCTGGCACAGCAGAGATAGGGAAGATGAATCAGCCTCTTAAGTCTTGGTAAAACGATTGGCGAGAACGTGGCAGGAAAGACTAGCACTGCTGTTTCTGATCTTGAGTGATTGTGACAATTCATGGTTGTGACTTGTGAATAGTACGTTCTCTTATTGAGCTTGATCTTGGAAAGGGTCCCATTAATGTAGACTACACTTTGTGAGGCTGGCTGGGTTTGCGTCCTATTCACCAATTTATATGGTAGTTCATAACTCATCCAGGACCATTCCTCATCTAGAACGGCATTACCCCACTTGACAGAAATCAAACACAAGTGCTTCTATAATAGAAGACTGAACAATTGTTACCTCTAAGTGCTTCATTCATATTTTTTTTAATTGCTAATTTGGATAACTTTTATACGAAATTTGTGTTAATGAACAGCTGACATTAGTTTGAAATGGGACCATACATTGGGATTAATTGTATTGTGTTACGTAACTTTTGAGGGGAAGATGCAGGAAATGAGTAAATTCAGTAAGTTTCAGGTTTGTGTTGCTATGTCAATGTTACTCCTGGTTTCCATGTCACAGAAATATCATGAGCAATCAAATCAAAACCATGGGTGTGCCTGCCATGTATATGAAGGCAAACCATGAAAATGAAGGATAATAGTCAATGGTTGTTCAGGCAAATAAAGAAGTGCTTCTGCACGGAAAAGATTAATCTGTTCTGAGATGTAGTGAAGTAGTGACCCCATTTTCAAGTTATAGGAATGCACAGAATAGCCCAAAACCTGAAAAGTGGCTTTTAGTTTGCAGTTATACTCTAGCTCTGATATCTATATTAATTGAAGTTGTTGTTTTTGTTGTTGTTGTTATAATCATTGGGTATAAGAAGGAAGATATAAAATCATGGATGTGCCTTCACCCCTAATAACAGTTTTTAAGAGAAATGATTCTAGGAATTTTGGCTGCTGTTGCATTTGGTTTTGTCTAATCAGCATAGTTTGCAACTGTAGCGTACCATTGGTAGAGTTTACACCACTAGTTTACTTCAACAAAGCATCTCTATTTTCTTGGCTAATTTCATTAAGCTCAATGGTCTTGTGTCGGTACATGTGCTAAATATGGTTCTTTGAAATGCTAATGATGTATAGAAGCATGTAAATGTGTCATGTGTAATACCCTTTCAGGAATGTGAAAGGATGCTACAAAGAGGATTGGATTCTGGAGGGAGCTGGTGGAATAACTTAATCAGATGACATTTTTTATTAGTGTTAATTGCATGACAGCACCCGGACCCATAAAGTTGTTAGTCATTGACTTATTCATAGTAGGGAAAATCAAAATTATGTCATTGAGGAAAATGTATTCGAGTAGTCTTTAGATCAATTTCTTTGACATGCCAACCATTCTACTCACTATATTGCGCTTGCATTATAATAAATTCTCTTAACTAATATCTCGGGGTTTAAGCTGTTTAATTAATTTCATGCAATTTGTCAATGCAATTTTCCCTATGTCATAACCCAGATTATGACGTTTTATAAGAACCTTCATGATATCTTGATTTCCATAATTCGATAGCTCCTTGTTCATGAGTACTTAAATTGCTTTGAAGATTGATGATGCCATTTTATGAACATACGAAAATTTTGCTAATTTCTTGGAGAGGTGAAGTTGTAGTGGAAAATATGGTCATTTCATTGGCGAGTTTATTTTCGATACAATTGGAGTACATACTCCTTTACTAAATAGGGGAAAATATGGAATATGGATGAAAATAATCATAAATGTGAAGGTACTTCTTGCCATATTTAATATGAACATTCACCTTCCCTCTAGGTTTGACGAAGCAGAGCTGTATAATTTGGAAATGTAAATAGTTAGAACTGATAAACAAATAATTACTAAGAAAAAATAATAATGTCTGAATCATATAACTTGTATATCTTGAATACGTACCAGTGACCGTGTCTAGTTACTAACTCTGAATTGATGATGTAATTATGTATTGTGTGTGACTGACTCAGAGCTTCGTTATTTATGATTGGGAACTGTTACGGTACTTGATGGACACCGGAATAATGCGCTTGATGAATATATACGAGTTGAAGCTTGAAGCCTGAAATCTATACTGTCTTTTTAAAAAAGAAAAAGAAAAAAAGAAATTAAAGTAAAAAAACTAAAATATACTCTAAATAACCGTACTTTACAATTAATTGTTTTAAAGATATGATCTGTATCATATGAAGGAACATATCTTTGGTGTTACAAGAATAGGTATTCCTTTGTTAAAAATAAAGAAAAAAATGGAATTCATGTGTCATTAACCATAAAGAAATTAAAATAAGCAAAGTTATATGTGGTGCTTTTCTCAATTTTAACAATTGAGAATAGTTATTTCATTATAGCCTTATCATCCTTCTAAACGATTACAGATTAAACTAAATAAGCACAATTTAAGCATGGTGATCGTATAATAAAATATGATTGTTTTGTTAGAAATATTATTACCTTCAACATGCACTTAAAAATTAGGGTTATGTTTATCTCATTTTACATGAGATAAACAACTCTCCTACACACACAAAAAGAAGTTGGGTCCCACCACTTTTTTTTCTCTCTCCTCTTACCTGTGGGTCCCACTTATACTTTTATTTCTATAACATGAGATAATTTTTTTCGTACAACATAAGAAAAATATATCCCTAAAAATTATTATAAACATTCCAATCATTCCTTGTTAATTTTTATAAACTTTAAACAACTCTCTAAAAAATTAAAAAATTATTCCCTTACTTCTCTTTCCTTTTAAAGCCATCCATCTAATCATTCCGTAAGGCTAGAGGTGCAGGGAAAGAGAATTAAAGAGATGAAGATAAGTAAAATGTGGGCTCTGACGATGCTGAAGTACAGAAAGGGTTGAGAGAAAAAAAATAAATAAACAAAAAGCAGCAGAAATTGTCATTGATATGGTAGTAAACAGACAACAACATGTAAGTTAACATAAATTCATTATTACCTATTGTTTATTTATGTAATATGTGTCATTACAGATTCAATGGATTCAGGACAAGTTGCAGCAGAGTACTATAAACAGATATTTATAGATGAAACATAACAAGGTGACTAATTAGAGGCATTTGGCTTCGATCTCCTCTAGTGTGAGCCCCTTGGTTTCTGGTACAATGAAGAATATGAATACAAGAGATGCCACGGCTATTCCACAAAATATGTAAAACAAAACTCCTGCTCCCAGTAATGCCTGTGAAGAAAAAAACAAACAAAAGAGTTAGACAGGCAATTTCAAAAAAGTTTATGGGTTGAATAGCAAAAGTTCAAAATGATGTTTTTGTTACACCTAACCATAGTGAGGGAAAAATAAATAATGGGAAAACAAATTCACTTCATTACAAAGCCTAAATGATGAGAGAAAAAATCTTCAGTACATTCAATTGAACACCAGTATAATCAACAAAAGTGGTCAATGCAGTTTGGGGAAAAAAAACACATGCTTATGTATGATTTTGTAAGATCAGATCTTTCTGAAATATAGCAATCATCTGATTGATTATGACACGTTGAAAAATATGGCAAGTTTACGGTCTCCATTTAAAGATCTTAGTCACCTTCAGTGGGGAAAAAGAAAATGTGACAAGGGCATTTGCACCAAAATTGACGAGTACAGCTATACTAAGTCCTCGACCTCTTAGGCGCAAGGGAAAAATCTCTGATATCATGAGCCAACCAATTGGACCAAAGGAAATCTGAAAAAAACAAAATGGAGAATCACACTACATGTTAAAAGCATGATACCATGTGCAACGCAAGCATTATGAACAAGAAAAGAAAGCATGATGTTCCTTATCTCGGTGAAAGACTCCAGCATACATTATTCTCTAAATCATTATATGAAGTTATGAACAATGAAAACAAAAAGTTTAATTCACCTGATAACAGCCTACGTATAGCAGCAGACCAACTACAGCAACAGCTGCAACATCATCCAAGAAAATGTAGTATGAACCCAGAAGGAATAAAGAGATCACCTGCAATACAAAATAAACATGAGTTCTTAAATTTAGAACATTGTTTCACAACTGAAATTTCCATATGCATACAGGACTAGATAGCAGATTGGCCTCTCAATTTGACATTAAATGAAGAAGTGTTCCTTTCTCAGGAAATTGCTACCAAAACCATCTATCGTCTAAGAGACTAGAAGGAACTTACCATCCCTGAAACTCCTCCAAGTAATAAAGGTCTCCTTCCAAGTCTATCAACAACGCCAACGGCAACTCCAGTCATAATCAACTAGAACAGAAACAGAAAGAAGTTGCTGATGAAATTAGTAAAGTGACCGGATAGGAGAAGATGATCATACATTTGGCAAGAGAAAAAGAAAAAAAGAAAAAAGGAGGGGGGTAGGGGAAGACATGGAAAAAATATATGATCACTATTCTTTATTTTTTTCTCTTTTCCCCTTTTCTCTTGCTGAAGATGTGATGCATAACATTGTATGGATGGGAAAAGGAAATGACGTATCACATCAACGTCACCTTTAACCCAAACTAATAGTTTCAAGTGAATAACGGAAACAACTTACTTAGCTATTAACAAGAATTGATTCAGAACTAACGATATCAGGTGCTTTTGCATAGGCATACTGGAACTCACAGACATGACTCTTCATTTAAAAAAGTAAAATCAATTAAAAATGAAATAGAGAAGGTGGTATAATCAATGTCTTAAATTCCAATCCATTAAAAGTTATACAAAAAAATTTCTGTTTTTAAAAATAAATATTATTAAGACACACCCCACCCTCGCAAGTCGGGATTTAATGGGGATTTTTTTTTTATTATTATTATTAAGACACACATATACACAAACATAATTTGCAAATACAGCATATATATGCAGTTAGCTCATTGCACCTTAAGAAGAAAAAAGGAAAGAGTTAGATATAATGACATTTCAAAGCTTGTCTGATAACTTCACATGTACAATTCATTAATTCAAATTTGTATATTTAGAAAACCTTGACCTACATGTAACTAATGAAACTGAAAAAAGCTATGATACTACTACCACGCTTTAATACAAATTCACATATTAATTATTAAGAATATAAGAAAATAAAAACTACCTTAAAAAGACCAAGGAGAATAGAGACCCGGGTTGCATCAGATGCTGCGGAGAATCCTGCACTCTACCAATTTGGATTGGATTACAATGTTATTACACTTCAATGGTGCCAGGCAATATATTATATGAATTTGCAATACGTTTCCTTCATTACAATTAACATAATACCTGAAGGATTGATGCAGCATAGTAGAGCACACTTGGTTGCCCTGTGATCTGTCATAGTTTTTGGTCTATAGTATTAATATACTGAAATGTTGGCAACTCTGATACTATTTTACTTAAGCAATTTCAATACCTGTTGAAACAAGACCAATCCTGCACCGATCACGAGGGCTTTCAAGCATTTACCTTGGAACATTTCTCCCAAGGTAACTCCTTTTTCTTCGCCTAAATAAGAAAGCTCTGCCAGAATCTCATCCACTTGCTGAGGAGCTGAGTCACCAAGAGCCTGACCTCGAAGCCTGCGCAAACCACGAATAGCTGTCTCTTTCAAATTCTGAATATCCCCCTTTCCCTGTATAGCACGTAAAAGTACCCATCTAGGAGAGGCTGGGAGCCACCATATTCCAAGTCCCATGATTATTGCCAAAGGACTACTAACTCCATACATATACCGCCACCCAGCTACAGTATTTACCAAAAGGCTACCTATTCCATATCCTGCCTGCATAAATGATATGTAGCGATTTTTTGTTATACCAGGACACTCGGAACAGAAAATAATTTGGTAGAAGATTATTTCTGAGGAAGCTATAAAATAGCAGAAGAAAAAACTCGAGAATTTTATTTGCTTCTTTAGATTTATAGCACACAAGAAAATTCAAGGTACTCCCAGAAAGTTGAAGAACTTACGACTATCCCAATTACTATAAAGAATTCTTTCAGAGAGATGAGTTGTCCACGTATTGGTGCTGGAGCTGTCTCTGCAATGTACATTGGAGCAGCATGCATTGCCTAAAAGAGATAAAATGAACATTTTGTATCTGGCTTTAAAGTTAATAAGTTATAGTGGAAGTACACAACACATTCAAATCTCATCTCCACACAAACTGTTTCACTAAAAAATTGTCATAAACTAACCATTCCAAAAGCTTTACCTGTCGGATGAAAGCACTTGAACGATTTCACATATAACACATCCCCTCACGTAAGAGTTCTTTGAGATTTAAGCATGAAAAATGCACATACCCACCCAACTTGTGCTAAAACTTAACTATGGAAAACTTGAGGCTTTGGCACTATGTCATGAACTAACTATTCAAAAACTTAAACTATTGGGTAAAAGCACATAAGTAGTTTTATATGTAACACAATTCCTTTTACATGTAGAGCAACCCTTTTTTCGATTTTTCTCTTTTCCTCGCAAGTTTACTCCATTGCAAACATTTTTGAAGTCTACTAAGTACAAACTGATATGACTGGATATACCTGTCCTAACTGAATTCGAAAACACTGCTAAAGAAATTTAGGCCCTATTTGAATATTGTTTCTAAAAACAGATTTTTGGTTTTTATAACAAAAAAACTCATTTGATAAGGTCTGTTTTGTAAAAAAAAATTAAAAATTGTAACTGTTTTTTTGTTTTTGTTTTTGTTTTTAAAATCAAATTTAGAGAACATGTCTGAGTTGTTTTTGTTTTGTGTTTTAATTTTTAACTTAAAAAAAAAAACACAGAAAACACATGTTTCCATAACTATTTTACAAAACAGTTTTAAGAACAAGAAAACCAGAAAACAATCAAACAGACTCTTAATGATGGAACCCACCCCCCAAAAAAAAAAAAAAAAAAATCACATAAGACGATATATCACATAAAATCTTAGACTTAACATTATATTTCAGTGAATTGATTTATATTGTTTGGATAGTGTTGATAAAAATCACTTTTGGATGTGTTGTTGGAAATAATCAAGTGTGAGTAGTGGTGAAGTAAGTTCCAAATTGGTTAGAATTGAATCATGTAAGGACCATATAAGTGCAAAAAGACCCACGAACCTACAGTCTTAAAGTTTTGGTATGAGATGTGGTGTCGGCCCACTTATTGTGATTTGTCATTTGGCCCATTGGTGGATGTATCCCTTGCAAAGGATTTTGGGCTCCCCCACACCATTCCCAACATGTGGGAGTACCAATAAAATGGGTGTTTGTTGGTGGTGTGTGTTTGGTTTAAATTGCAAAACAATTTAAGGGTCTTTCTGTAAAACATACCCCAAATCTGATTTCTACCAGAGAAGCAACAAATGCTTCTTCTCAATTTCGCACTCAAAATCAAGTTGGGACTTGGGATGACCTAATACGGTTGTGCCACAAATGCCAAACATGCTGGCATCACTTTTTAAGGCTTCAGATGGGCTTCTCCATGATTCAAACGGGGAACCAAACATAGTCACTCACTGTTAGTAGTAGCCCATGAAGGGGGGTTCAAGTTTCTTTCTTTTCCTTTTAGCATTTATTTAAAAAAAAAATCCCTTTATTTTCTACGGGTAAATCTTGTCAGATAGTAACTATTATATCATTTGCACAAAACTTTCCCAGAAACTATTTACTTTATTGGGGCCATCAATTAAATAAATATAAAGTAAGTTAAAAGTTGGAGGTACCATGGCATACCCAAGCCCCCCTCCCTCTGCTTCTGGCCCGTGGGGATTGAAGCATTGATGAAGTGAAGACCCACCATTCCTTGTGTTGAAACTCAATTTAATATTATAAAGAATGAAGGCAAGGATTGAACTCCTAATCACTTGGTCATTAAAGCTCTAATAACAAGTCAAAAACTAAATTTTCTAAAAGCTTGAGTTGTTAAGTGCAAACCCACGGATTATTTATTTCTCTAACACAAAAGACTAAAACCCTACATATCCAATTGTCTACGTGGTTTTCTACCTTGACAAACCAGAATTTAACATATTAGAAGTACATTTTGGGTAACAAAAGAGCATACCAGTCCAATTCCTATGCCATATACAAATCTCCCAATCACCAGTACAGGAAAAATAGGAGCTAATGCTGTTACAAGGGCTCCAACAAGATACAGCAATGCAGCTGTAATCAGCTCCCTTCTTCTACCTTAAAATCAAATTTGTCATGTCAGCTTTACCAGGGAAGTAAATACCTAAACAGATAACTGATAAAAGGGGGAAATTACCTAAGAAATCAGCAATATTGAAGGCCAACACAGAACCGATTAAGGCACCATATAATGATCCACTAGTCTGCAAAAGGCATCAAACACCAATACCTGAGTTCATACTCAAGATCAATATATAATTACGAATATGAACATATTTGTCAAATCAAAAGAATCAAAAAGACAATATACCCATGTCCAAAGAAAGAACAAGCCAAGAATTTAATTTAAACTTACTACAAGACCAATTTGAACAGAAGACAAGTTGTACCAAGATATTCCACTTAGTGTTGATGACTGCACAAAAGGGAAATTATAATTTATAAGTATACAAGCAAACAATTGAATATGTACAATTGAATATCGGCTTCCAAAGAAACTGTCAAGTGTGACAGTAAGTTCAGTCAAAGTAATTAAAAAAAAGGTGTCAGCGTAAAAATCTACAGGAATAAGAATCCATCATACCATTTACTTTAATAAATAAAAAGATAATTTTACCATAAGCCAGTTCTATCATACATTAAAAAGGCTACACTAGTTTATCACCAGCAAGTTGACTTCCCAAAAGCTCCATTATTGGGGGAAAATTAAATCCTTCAAGTTTTTTTTTCTTTTTCTTAATAACAATGAATTGCTTAGAGTCTTACTGTAGTAATCTTCCTCACTGATCTATTACACACTAGGATAAAAAGATTGTACAAGTATCAGTAATAACAGAAAATCTACTAAACGGAGATGGTTGCAATAAAGAAGATGATGTGGTACAAAAAGCAGGATGCATAATGTCCATTCTTAGCCCGTTTCCTAAAAGTATAACCTTTTAGGACTAATGGGAGTAGACTAGGATTAACACCAATGAAGTATGAAACTAATGGAATCAAACAATATTGACCAGTGAAAGTACAAAAATCATTCATGATTTAAATCAGGATTCATATTTCTTTTTTTCCCATATAAATTTTGTCCATCCTACGTCCTGAGCTTCCCTGTTGTATTTTGTACTTGCGTCACTACCTATGACCCTTGTAGGAGGAAAATATATCTAAACAATAAAGACGCTGTAAAAACCCAACTGAAAAGATCATGTAACTGTTAGAACTGAAAATACATTACCGAATGAGCCTGTGATATGGATCTGGGGGATGCAATATATGAATTATGATCTACAAAACTAACCACCATAGCCATATCTATGAAGTACATGAAAAGCAAAACAGATAAGCTATGAAAAAACTACTATACCATGAGATTATATTTCAAACAGACAAAAAGTAACTAGTGATTATAAAGCAGAAAAAATATGGATCTTTTAAGATAAGGAAACCATTACAGGTGCTCCACCACAAAATGAATATTATAAAAGTGCTGAGTCAGTACCTAAATTATAGTAGAAGGGTGTACCTCAATGGAAATTGTTGCACAAGATGTGGCACCAATATCATAGCCATATAGTAGGCCACCAAAAGCAGGGAAGAGAAATCTGAGATTTTTAAAACACTTATAGGTAAGACTACAGGCAGAGCTATTATTTTCTTTTTTTTCTTTTTCGCTTGAAAAAATATCACACAATTAATTAAGGACTCACTACAGAAAATCAGTGGGGCCATAGTGAACATGACATGATACCTTTTTTCTTCTTTGAAGTTCTTAAATTGTTTCATCAATATCAAGCAGAAAGAAGATGAAATAAAAGGAAAAGTTTATACAAAATATAAATTTAATCAACCCTATAGCATGTGATGTAAGCTAATTTTATAATTTTGATAAGATATTAAGCAGCAACAAGGTAACTAAATGCTCAAGGTGGCATATGGTATATGGACATCAAATGATTTCTAGAAAAAACTATCAAAAGGAATCTATCATTTATGTGCTCTGTTTAAGATTCCAATATAGGATTTCCAGGAATCTTGAATTCCATGAGAGTCATTTTTCTTTAAAATGAAGGAAACTAATTCTCATCATCAGTAATAACCTTGGGATCAAATTCATTATTAATGCTGCCTACACCTTCATCCTTCCCACCGCATTACCAGTTTTGTATAAAAACAACAAAACATTAGTATTTCATGGAAATCCATTAACGAACCAAACACGTAATCTTCTTTATCTAAATGTCCAGTTAAGTATTTCCAAAAGGGCGTAGGATTCCTCAAACCAAATAGCTCCTAAGAAATAAGGATGAGATATAAATATATGATGAAAAAAATGAGCAATTGATTCCTTCCCCTTGCCAATGCAATGTGCACCAGCCATACTCTAACCATCACGATTAACACTTTTTTACACCCATAAAATATGATCAACATAACACCGCTTATTGGAAATATGAAAAATGATTACAAAATAAAAACTGATTCTTTATCTGGCCATATATTGTATGTTTTAAAAGAAAATAAAGATTATAATAGATTTCCTAAGCAGCCGAGGGATCAAAAAGGTAATACTCACGGAAGAATGGCAGCAAAGATGGAATAGTCTTCAGAGTGATGAACCCCATTAAGAAGAGGCACCCTTGCACTCCCAATCTCACCGGATGACTTTCCTTCCTAATGAAAATCAATGCATTTCAAGAGTTAAAAAAGTGAAAATAAACACCAAAAGATAAAAACGAATTAGTTTAGTTTCCAGTAAAAAAACATGCAGCTCTGTATGTGTGAGTGTGACTATGTATTTGATGACAAGCATTCAGCTTATTCTTATTATTCTTATTCTTATTATTATTTTTACCACAGACCAAATAAATAAATAATCAAGAGCTAAACACACAGTTCTCTAATTTATACTGACAAATCATCTATTGTATCAAATAACCGAAATTAAAAGGGAAATTTAGTCTATGTCAACTTGAGAGCATGAAAGCCAAAACCCCAAAATGAAGCAGTTCAAGTTGTTTTCTATGAGCTCATTTTGGCAGGAACAAAGTCCATATTTTTATGACACCCATTGAACCCATGATTGTTTGGCAGCCAAATTTCTACCCTTTTTCTTTCTGAATTTCAACAGTTTCCTTCCCTCCCAATACAGTTTTTATCACAAACCAATCAAAGTCTGCACATACTAAAAGATATCTAATTCAAATTCAGGGTAGATGTTGAACTGTTCTAGCCCAGAGACGAAGAAGAATGAAAAAGAGAATAGGATAGAACCTTTGCGAGGGAGGAAAGAGGGGATTGCTCAGGATCAGATGCCATTGCTTTGAAGTTTGAAACTTTGAAGGTTAAGTGTGTGAGAAAGAGAGACAGAGGGAAAAGTAGGCAATATATATATATATATATATATATATATAGTAAGATCCTTTGACACAGTTTCAAATTTAAAGTTTGAGATAGTTCTCTGGGATCCACACTTTAAAACAAAAGAAAAAAAATAAAAAAGTTAACACAAAATTAGATGAGTATATAAAATGAGAGAATTATTTTCAACAAAATGAAAAAAATATTTATATATATATATATATATATAGGAGAAGGATAAAAAAGTTTACCACTTTTATAATCAATTTAATCACAGTTGATTTCTGTTAATATAATGATTATAATTTATTAGAAATTAATAACTATGACCTAATAAATATTATTAAACTTTAATAAATTATAATGTTAGATTAACGAAAATCAATGATAATTAAATTAATTGTAAGAATGATAATTTTTTTTGTGGTAAGTAAATTCATTTCCTATAAATTACATTTAGCAGTGAGAACTGAAAACTGAACCGAGAAAAAGTGATTCCTTAGCAAGTTAGAATGTTGAGTTTGAAAGGTATGTAGCACAAGTGAAGTGGGTAGATAGAAAACACATGGATCAGTATCCAGACACGTTTTAATATTCAACAGTAAAATCTCAATAAGTAATTATACAACAACAAATGATGAATTAATCTTAATTTCTAAAAGTGAGTTTATTTTTGAAAGCGAATAAAAGTTTATTTTTTCATAATTTATTTTAAAACGTATCAGTGTATTCATTTATTAAAGTTCAAATGTAATTATTTTTATTTTGTTTTAAAAATAAATTTACGTTATAAAATGTTTTATATGCATGTGTCTGAAAGTCAAAATATAATCGGGAACACGTTCGTGTAAAAAAAAATGTATTTTTTAAGATTTTAAATCATATCTATTTGAGTTATTTGATTTAGAAATCATTCTTTATTTGTCTGTGCATAAATTCTAGATCAAATCTATTTAATTTTTTTTAATGATTCTAATCATTGTGATAATGTTTATTATATATGTAGTTGAAAGAATTATTTGTTCAGTTTTTGTACAGTCTATTCAATCCTTTAATTTAAAATCGGCAGATAATAAACGAAAGAATGAAAATGTGAGAAGAGTTGTTGAAGTATAGGAAAAGCAATGTAAAAATGGCACTGCTCAAGTGCTCATGTCATTATTTTTTTCCTGTTTTGGTTGTTAGTGTTTGCTTTTCCTTATTTAATTAATTGATGAGATAGAGAAAAGCCCAAATAATATTTAGATAACTTCAATTTGAGGGGAATCTTTAGCATTCATTAAAAAGCATGTGATGCAAATTGGAGGTAGGCAGATATATAATATTGAATGGGATAATGGGAAGGGTGGGCTTGCTTTATTTTCTTTTTTTATTGAGAGATTGAAGTCTATTTCACGAAGGCAAAATACTTCACATAAACAGTCTATATATGACATGTTTGTATCATATGTCAAACATTTAATGTATACTCCTCGGAGAAAAGAAATATCATTTTAAAGGACACAAGCTAGTATCTTTTTAGATAATTTATACAAAGTATGATCATGTGTGACTGGAGTGAGAAAAAAAAGGACACAACTTGTGTAAGTCATACATAGAATAATGTGACCGGTCATATATAAAATATGCAAAATATAATCGATTATACTTTGAGTAAGTCAATAAAAAACACAACTTGTGTCCTTTTAAACGAGACACAGTAGACCCATACTCCTCTGATATGTAAACTCAATTCTGATTTGTTGCAATAAGGTTCTTAACTTATGTTTTTTTTTTTGAAATAATGTTGAATGAGATGATTACCAGTACTCTAACAAAAGGAATCACATGCTATACATTAAACTCCCAATCTGTGAATCTATAATATTATAATTTGTCTAAAATACAATAACACCACTGTTCTTTTTATTTAGTTTAAGTGGAGGAGTTGATTCTATAATCAGTGTATGTCATATATAAGCTTTAACAAAATTTACATGATAATTATAATACAAATTAAAGTTCAGAATTAAACCCAAGGCCATTTCATTAAAAAAATTTATTCCATGTTAGACATTTTTTATTAATGTTAAAACTAAACAGAAACATTCTTAATTAACGGTCTTATCTCCATGGATTTTTATATAATTAAATTGCACTACCCACGTGAGAATAGTAGGGTTTAATGTTTGCCGGTGTCACAATGTTTCTAGTTTTTTCCAATTTAATGTTTTTCAGTAGAATACATTATCGTGTATAGGAACAGACAACTTTCATCCAGATATCTCGAAACCTAACCATTTTTGTTCATTTAATATTTATAGTTAATACTTGATACACATGTGAGAACGTGGAAAGTGGATATCCCTATATTAAGAACTGGTATCATCATACATATAATAATGTTACGACTGTCATAAGAAAAGGAAAAATAATACTATATAGCTTCATTTTAATGAGTAATTTAGTACAAGTCAATTTAGAGATGGGACAGCGATTAACTTCAGAAACTTGAACCACACTTTATATCAATTTTTGTTTATGGATAATAATCTCACACGCGCTAGCTTGGTAGTATACAGAAGTGTCTCGCATGAATACCATAACTTACTACACTTTCAAATACGAAGTAGAGGTAGTTGACTGACGGGTAAAGATGAAATGAGATTCAAATCATAGTTGTTTAGTTGGTGTCGTAGAACTGAATAGGTGGAGGTAAAATATATATTTAATTCTTCTCAATATTGTTATTGGGAGTGGTTTAAAGTCTTAATTTTAGGATCCATCTCGAATCGAACTAGTCACGAAGTAGTGATGAATCAATTAGAATATTTAAAAAAGAGAGGATAAGATTAAGATTAACGAGGTACAGTTTTGTGTACACTTGATTGTTGGTTTTGACTGTATATTGTAGCTTGATCTCTCTCTTCTCTTTTTAAAAGATGTAGCATGGATTCAACTATGTCTCCAAATAGATGTAGCATCGATCCGAAGTCAGGGACAGACCTACATGGGGGGCTAGGGTGGGCCCCGTCTCCTTCTAAAATATGAAAATATGTTCAACTAAATGAATGTAACATGGTCTGCAAAAACAAAATTTTGAAAGTGCTTTTAAAAAGTTAAAGACAAGCGATGCTATTTATAAAAAAAGTATTCTACTCGTTCATTGCACCCAATTAGAGATAAATATTATTTATCAGATTCAACCTGCCAGCAAATATGGTAGGTTTTGTTCTTGGTTTGCTACCCTCCCTAATCAATGTGGAAAGCTGGTTTTTCCGTTGTATACAAAGAAGAGTTCAGTTAGTAATGCATATTCACTCTACCTAATCAAATTTGTCTATAATTTGATTTTATATTGATTGATTATCTAATTTTCTTTTTATAATCATTAAAATTTTGTATAGATTATTCAAGTTTTGACTTTGTTGGCAAAGAAAAAAAGATCAGTGATTAATTATCAATTATTAGTTGGGACCAAATGCTAAAGATAAATAACGCATTAATTAATTTACTGTGTCTTCTGTTAAATAACAGCTAAGTGAGAAAATAAGATTCTGAAGAAATCAAATAGTGCAATTATAACACCAGAAGGCATGAAGGTAAACAATAAAAAATTGATCTTACAAACAAAATATAGGGTCTTAAGGCTAGTTCCTTATTGAAATAGAGGGTGTATTGAACCACTGTCACCAGAAGCAAAAAATTGACATTCCAACCAAAAAATTGGCAAAAAATTATGTAATTTTGTTAGGTTCTTCTTAACAAGTTTTTTTTTATTCTTAGTGTGATCATCCAACCAAAACTAGCATTGCCTTTTCATAATAGTAATATAAATTTTTGCCCCCGGTCATATAATTTCATGGGTCCGCCACTATCCGAAGTGCAGAAGTGGTGGATTTTGTGGTGTATTATGATAGAAAAGGATCAGCCAAGAATTGTTACTTTAGTGGCGTTACATTTAAATTTTAGGGGCATTTGGTGGTGGAGAAAAAAATTTTACCTGGAAATCATGATTTTCGAAAATAGTGGGAAAATAACTTTTTCGAAAATGTTACCAAAAAATTGTTTGATAGGAGAAAATATTGGGTGTATTTTCATATTGCTATGTTTGGTTGACAGTAAATTTTTGCTTGGATTTTGGATGGAATTTACAAATCTACCCTCAATTTTAAATATTAAGCCTCTTTTTTACTATTTTCATATCTCAGTCAAGTTTGTCTCTCTCTATATGTCAAATATTCAACATTGTTTAATGTTTGGAAAAGGAACAATTCCATCTAATCAATGGAATTATTTGGTTGGGATTTCAAAATTATTTACACAGCATTTTCAAATTCCAAGATTTAAATTTTTCCAAGATAATTTCACTTTTATGCCTGCTAAACATTACATTCCTATTCACCCAATCAAAAAATCCTAGGAAAACAAAAACAATAGAGCTTCACCGGCTCAAAAGGTAATAATAGATTCGATTTGCTAGCTCCTAAGAAAGGTGGAGGAATTTAAACTCAAAACCAAATTAATTTGGCTTATTAAGACTTCTAGCACCGATTGACATCTCTTAAAAAAACAAAGAAAATGGATTATGGATTCACATCCAGAGTACACAAACCTGTATGCAAGAGGTAGGTAGGAGAGAGTACACAGGGCATAAGTTAGCAATAAGTACTAAGTACATAACTTAATAAAAATGAAAATGAAAATAAAGTAATTCACCTGTGTTATAAAATTGATAGAAAGAAAGAGAAAGTAGAGAATTGCAGAAAGAACTATGAAAGGAAGTTCCTATTTATAGAAAACTATGAAGGGAAGTTACTATTTATAGAAATAAAAATTTCACTATTTGCACAATAGTTTATTATTTGCACAATAACTGTGAATAATAAATCCGCATATAGAACACACAGTACCACGTATAAAACGTGAGCAGTAATCCCGTATATGAACAGTGCCAACGGTAATCTCGTGAGTGCACAATAACTATAAATAGTAATCTTGTGCATGAACAATACC